AGCATTTTCATTTTAAACCATTGCTTCTGGCCAAAGTCTATAAACCATAAACTATAAATCCTCCAGTGAAAAAGTCAATCTCCTGTTGTCATTACATTACAATCTACCAATATATTTGTTTAGAAATATTTTCACTTATAAATGGTTCTTGATCAGTGCATATTTCTCTCCCAATTGAGAAGAGACAACCTTTTCACTGAAGAAAGCAATATTATGGATGGAGGAGTTGTATTTTAGCTGGAAGCAACAATTTTAAGTTAAAAAAGTTTTAATGATGAATCTGTTAATTACTAACATGCAGCTTTTCACTTAACTGGAGTCGTGAGGATTACTGTGATCAGGGATGGGCAGTATTTCAAATACATGTATTTGAAATACAAAATACTATTTTGTATTTAAATACATTTAATCTTAGTATTTTGTAGTTTCAAAATACATAAAATACTTTTTGCCAATCAACCTCTTTATAAGACTGCTGATTTCCTGTATCAACAAGTATACAAAAATACTAAGATTAAATGTATTTAAATACAAAATACAAAATAGTATTTCAAATACATGTATTTGATGTCCATCCCTGCAGGAAATCAGCAATAAGGAGGTTGATACCTTATGTATTTTGAAAATTCAAAAATACTCAGATTAAATGTTTAATGCAAAATACATGATTTTTTTTCAAAGATATTTAAATACAAAATAGTATTTTGTATTTCAAATACATGTATTTGAAATACTGCCCATCCCTGACTGTGATGCTTTTATCCTCTGTTTGAACTCTCATTCTGACAGCACCCATTCACTGCAGAGGATCCACAGGTGAGCAAGTGATGCAATGCTACATTTCTTCAAATCTGACCGAATGAAGAAAACTCATCTACATCTACATTTTCAGCCAATTTGAATTTTTAAGTGAACTATTTCTTTACCAACAGAGAAGTTATACAGAATCACAAGATACACAGAAAAAAAAAGCTTTCACACAACCACAGCGGTTAAAAGAGCTCAAATATTGTCCTCATTTGTAAGTCGCTTTGGATAAAAGCGTCTGCTAAATGACTAAATGTAAATGTAAATAGATGCAATTCAAATATTAATCACTAGCTAAACGGTACATTGAATACACGTGTTTCTGCTTTCCTATTGACCCCAACTCCACACACTTTAACCCCCTGGCTACTTCTGAAAAGGTCTATAGATTACAGACAGACCTCCTTGTTTACATGCACAAGCGGTGCTGTCAGATAAACATGAACCAGGGGCGTAACCGAACAGGCACCGGCTGACTCCTTTACAACAATATATGAGCATCTTATTGTTAATGAATAAATAAACAAATGGTTTATCATCACAGCACATTCTACTCGTTAATAGCAACTACACATACGCTGTCAACAATAACAATATAACCAGGAGTTTGCTTGCTCTGGGGAACAACTTAAACGTAATACAATAACATCAGGTTAGCTCTGCCATACAACGTCTAAAGTCGGGTAACGTAACGGTTTTAAATGTAGAATTACGGGTGTTATTATGAAAATGTTAATTATATCTTTAATGAATTGAATATGTATGAATTACTGTGCTAATTAGCAAGCTAACAGTTCACAGCGCTCAGTGCGTTATTACAATGGAAACTTTAAGAACGCGGGAAAAATATTTTAACGTCTGATAGACTTTAGTCTCTGTATCGTGCGGTTAAAAAGAGAATGTTTCTTCGCAAGTTTACCTCTGCACTTTGATGCTTGAACGTATCTAAAAAGAGAAGCTCCATTGCCGAATCCCCCGCCATCTTTCTTAGTCACATTAGGACTTCCGGTAAAGGAAACACTTCCGGAGTTGAAGGCGTACGTCACAACGTTGTTTTTTTTGTTTTTTTTATTAGAACAGGAACATAAACATATGCATAAACACATGGGGGATACAAAAAACAATTAAAAGGTAAACAAATATACGATTATTTTACAACTATAAAAGTTACAACTTATTTATGAATTTTTTTATAAGATTGGATGTTTTTAAGGCTTTTTTATTAGAGGAGATTTTTTGAAGTGATGAGTAAAACAAAAGTAAATCAGAGGTGAATATTTTACAATTAGGTTTAAAATTAAGGCATCTCGCTTTGTGAATGTGGAATTTTCCCATCATACAAATAAAGTCCAGGGCATCCTCTAGCTCCCTATTGTCAGAAACAACAGAATGAAAGAGAACCTTAACTGCTGAAATGTTACATAGCCGAAAGAATACAAGAAGTAAAGATGCTGAAATTTGAAGCCAGAATTGTTTAGTATAAGGACAGAAATAGAATAAATGTGAAAGAGATTCTTCCTCTTCTTGGCAAAAAGAACAGAGTGGAGAAAGATTTTGTATAAATTTACTTAAATATTTGTTGCAGGGGTAATAATGATGAATAATTTTAAAATGAACTTCTTTTATTTTATTATTAAATAAAAATTTGTTTGGGACTGTCCATGCTTTCTGAAAATTAACATTTGGATAAAGTGCCAACCACTTTCCATAAGCTTTAAAAGATGAAGCATTATTAGCAGTAACAAAGTTTCTCAAAAATTTGTTTGTACACTTGAATAAATAATCGAGGGATAATCAAATTAAAATTACAATATATTTTAAAAGACTTCATTAAAAATAACAACTTAGGAGAAATACAACGTTGGTTGTGTTGTAGGATCAGTAGGTTTTAGAAATTGCATATTACATGTTTTAAAAAAAACATTTAAGTAAAGCCATATACATGCATCGTTTAGTAATTATTAATTAGGCTACTAGGTTTCGATAATGGTTTTGTATATCACAACACATTGTGTCCAATCTTGCACATGTAGACTATTCCAAAAACATTAAGAATAGATTATACAAAAAATATAATATCCGCCTACGTTTCAAAGTTATTAATTATTATTATTATTCAGAGTTTTTTTGTTTTGTTTTTGTTTTGTTTTTACATTTTATTTTATACAAAATCCTCTCAAAGTTATTTTTCTTTTACATATAAAATGCACGTACCTTTTCTGGATTAACTTCAGATATCACTCTTTAATAAAGCTTTTTAAAAGCACATTATTATAAAGGATTTACTGGAAATCCCTGAATGATTAATGCATAGAAATGACAGAAGAAAAAACTATTAGGTTAAAGTAATTCATCATTCTATTAAGGACCTGAAAGAGTCCAATAACAGGTGCAAGAATGTCAGAAACATCCCGAAAGGTAATAAAATGACACAAAATGTAAATAAATAAAGGCCTTCAGTGATTTGCGTGTTGTAACATCTAACAAACTCAGGTCACAGTAGAGCTGCACGATTAATCGTTAAAAGATCGCGATCTCGATTCAGACAACCACACGATCTCATTTCTAAATGACAACGATTCTCCCGTGTCTATTAAAGCTTTGAAAAAGTCTTACCGGATC